GGTCCGGTTCTCCCATGAAGAAAAACCGACCGAACCGGAACCGCACAGGTGTCGATTCCTAAAAATGAATCGGAATCTACCCCACAGTTGTGGGTTCTGGGTAGGTATACCGGTTCCGTGTATCTACCCGCTACCATTGCTCACCCCTAGCCTCCAACCCGTCAAGTTGTTCAAACTTAAGTAGCCGACTTTAGAGAATTTTCCTGCGATTTTATCGAGTCCCACTATTTATCACAAAATTTTTAATTTGCTAATCATTTTGGCTCATTGGCTCATCCTCCTTTATTATTTCACTCTGGTGCTCTTATGTTTTGAATTGTCATCCTTTTAACCTTAGGATGGAAATGAGTGGTGGGACGATGGCAGAACAATAGTTTAGAAAGTAAGCTTCAAATTGGTTGTGGAAAGTCTTTACTGTAAGTTAACCATTGAAATGATTTGTTTCCCCTTTTCTTGCTTTTAATTAATTGGTAGTCTACTCTTGTTTCGTTATGTTGGTTGAAATTTATAAATTGATACATGTTCCATTTTCAGCAATTTCTTTCATCTTTATAGAATGGTTAATGCTGATTTCTTCATAAAAATTAGGGTTTATTATTCGTTTAAAATTTTCTTAACTTTGCTAGTCGGATTTGTCTTCCATCTTTTTTTTTTTCTTAACTTTGCTTTTGGATTTTGTTTGAAATTCTTAGAATTAACTGACTCCCTGCTGATAAATTATTATCTTTTGGGAGTATTTTTTTGAGTCTCTTTAGAGAAAGCTAAGCTTCATTTTGAAGCATAAGAGTCCTTCAACTCAAATATATCCATATGACATCTGCTCTTATTTGTTTTGATAAATTGAAATTGAAATTATGTATTCTGACATTATGTGCTTTATGTGCCAGTTTCTTGCTCTCCCAAATATTTTATCACTAAATATCAACCATTTTGTAGCTATGCATAGAGGATTATGATGAAGGTAGTATAAATAATACTCCTCAGTGGGTGGCTTTGGCTGTTGTACAATTATATAATCCAAGGCATAAAGTCCTCGGAGTGATATATATCTTTCCTAACCTGGAATGTTAATTCTAGTTAGTTGCTGCACACTTAGTTTAGTCTGACTTGAATTGAGTATGTTTTAACTTTTAACGACAGATTAGGTGGCCTAGTTTCTTCCTATTATGAAAACCAAAATAGAGTCTTGGTTTTATTATTTTGTCGTAATGCTGAATTTCAACTGACAATTAGATTTGCATCGGATATCTCTCATTTATTTTCAGGGCTATTTCAGTAATTATATGACATAATTTAATCCATTTCTATTTAAATCTACAGCTAATTAAGTACACGATCTCCGTCTCACTAGAATTGATATGATATGTCTTTGCTTCTACAATAACTTGTTCATTTAATGTTTGTAAGAGGGCCTTCTTTTATCGTCTTAGGCTGTGGTAGATTTTCCCTTCTTTGTAAAGCACACCTCTTTAATTTTTTAATACAGTGCAGGAGTTAGGTCGGTTAGAGGATAAAAATAAACTTACCAATCAGGTTGTTTCAGACTTAAGTAGCTACACTGTAAAGAAGTTTACTCGATTTAGGGTCAAATTATTTGTCATCAGAATTTTAATTTGTTAAATTGTTTTGCTCATGTGGCTCACTCCTTATTATTGAACTCTTGGTGCTCTTATGTTTTGAATTATCATCGTTTTAACCCTAGGATTGATATGAGNATGTTAAGAAAGCGGCTACTAGAGCAGGAGTAAGGAGTGCTGAATCTAAGTTCATAAATGCTATTGCAGCTGAAATTTCAGCATTGAAAGCTGAAAGAGAGAAAGAGAGGAGATATCTCAGGGATGAGAATAAAGGGATTCAAGCTCAATTGTGGGATACTGCTGAAGCTGTAAAAGCGGCAGGTGAAGTACTTGTACGGCTCAAAGAAGCAGAAGAAGCTGTTGCAGCTGCCCCGGTGTGCCTCCTGCTTTGTTGAGATAATTTTTTCTATCATGAAAAGTTCACCTAGTTCTTGCTAGCTTTTCTTTATTGTTTATTTTTGTGATATATTGGAACTTCAAGGTGTATAGAAATTGCATTACTTGTTATGTGATGGGGATTTTACTTTATCTCGGAGGATTTATGAGCACATTATTCCTTTGTTTGATTAGGATAGTTATTTTTCCCGTACTATATGTGAGCACACTATGTTTATGTTTTAAGGCACTCATTTGTCTCCGTGAGAGTGACACAAAGATTTTAGAACATGTAGGATTTACGGCAGTCATGAATAGAATCCTCACTTAAGAGAAAGCTATGAGCAATTGAACTTGTCTTTCGGGTTCATTCATAGTTAATTCATGAAGTTCTATCTTTTTCTCAACATTTTACATACACTGCTTCATTATTCATAGCCTTAATTATGATTATGGCTACGTAACATTAACTTTGCACAATTTTCTTTCTCTCATGAAACTTGTCTTCCTTGATACTGTACAGTGTGCACTAAGGATACTTATCTAGGTTCATTCATAGCTTGGATGTTAATCTCTCTACCGAAAGATCAGAATTACTATATAAGACATGATTTTAAGAACTTATTATTCCTTCTTGCTTATGGCTGCAACTTCTTTCAAAATATGGTTTGCATTAGTTTGCTTATGGCTGCAATTTATAAATTGATACATGTTCCATTTTCAACAATTTCTTTCATCTTTATAGAATGGTTAGTGCTGATTTCTTCATAAAAATTGGGGATTCTTATTCGTTTAAAATTTTCTTAACTTTGTTAGTCGGATTTGTCTTCCATCTTTTTTTTTTTTCTTAACTAGTGTGATGTATTTTGCCTATGAATCACTTCTTGATTTTTTTTTTTAATTTTCTAATTAGTTATACCCTCACCTTTTACAGTTTATGCAAATCTAAATTAAAATAGTTACCCTTATAACAAGTTTTTTATGGTCTTAGGAGATATTTTTGTGTTGGTATTTTTATTATTTATGATGATGGATTGATTCAGTGGTGGTGTGGATAGTTTGTTTTGTTTATATACTCTTCTCCTATACTATTATTTGGCACCGATCAATTCCCTCCTCTCCCTGTTCTCTTCTTTTCCTTTCATACTTTTTTGTTTCACTTCGACGTGGATAAAAGGTATTCTTCTCTCTTTCTTTGATTATTTGATGTTAATTCTTTCTTTTTCATTTCCTTTTTCGGGTGTCAATTTAATAAAATTTGAGTATTACTCAATTGTTTTTGATTTATTTCTACATGAACAATAGTATAATGGTAAACATTGACAAAAATAATATTAGGTATTGGATACTGAAATCAGGGTTCTATTGCATTATTCATTTTGTATTTCTGTACCTTCATTTTGAAGCTCAAATTGGTAGATTGATGCATATGCTTTTAATTACTCTTCCTAAATTAGATCATTGAACCTACCAAACATGTATTTTTCCCTTTTTATTTTGCTTCTTCTCGGGAAGCTAGGCATTTGCTCCTTTTTGGTACAACTAAATCTATGAATTATATTGTTACATTATTTATGCAAGGACAAGATCAATTATATTGTTACATTATTTATGCAAGGACAAGATCAATGCTTGTGTAATTTCATATTTCTTGACTGGGTACTTATTTATATAATTGCTAAATCTCCATTTTTTTTCTCCCTATTATACAATTCAATAAAAACTATTGTCTTTGTAATAATCAAATAATTTAAAATCAGCCAAGGAACGGTTTAGGAGTTTGAAATGTATATTGCATGCCTTCATGCTTCGGCAAAAAAATTTTAAACTAATTTGAGTCTGGAAGTTGAAGGCTGCCACCTCTTAATGAGACAAAAGTATAGACTTACTATTCTTTTTTGAATTTGTACTAAAGTGTTTCCTCTTGGTTCTGTTGTAACTACTTCTATAGAGATTTGTCATGTCATAAGAGATTATTGGACTTGGTCATGACAGGATGGCTCCAATGGTCTCGTTGCAAAAGAAAGTGTAAATTTCAATATTGAGGAAGGAGCTACCAAAACTAGGGGTGTTCAAAAGCGGTTAACCGGCTTTTCTAAACTGAACCGGATTTTCGGTTCGGGAAAATTCTCGAACCAAAACCGAACCGGTTTTAGGGAAAACCGGTTTTTCGGTTAACCGAAAAACCGGTTAACCGTTTTAAAAAAAGCTGTTAACCGGTTTGAACCAGTTTTCTCTTTCTTTTTTTGATAAAACTTTTTTTTTTAATTATCCAAAATTAAATTGTAAATATAGACAATACATTGGGAACTAAGAAAAAAATTTTGGGTTGGCATTTTAGATTGAGTGAATTAGGGATTTATTTTAGCTTAGGCTATTATTTATTTATTTAATATAATATATATATTTGAAAAACCGGTTTAGAAAACCGGTTTTCGGTTAACTGTTTCTAATTTTTCTCGAACCGGCAACCGAACCGAAAATTCGGTTTTTTGAATTTTTTGAACCGTAACCGAACCGTTTTTTCGGTTAACCAGTTTTTCGATTCTGTTACCGGTTCGGTTCGGCTTTTTGCATTTTTTTGAACACCCCTAACCAAAACTTCTTGCATGGTCTTCTGGTGTTTCTAACCATAAGTCTTTACAGAAAATTGTATGTGTTTGTTTCTCAATTTATTCCTTGATGCCTTGTTCTTCATTGTCCCATATATACTGTAGTAACACTAAATGCTTTCTTCTCTTGGAAAACTTAAAGAGCAGACTATTATATTCTAAAGAGAAGTTAGGTTGACTCATGATAATCTTACTTTTCTCATTCTGATAGAGTATTGTGTGGACATTTATGCACTTGATGACCTTCAGCCAAGATTCTTACTCTGAAGTATTCAGTTTCATATGGACTTGGTGTAATTTAGATAACTATTCAATGGAAAGTTTGCTGAGTTAGGCCTTTGTTCAACTTAAAGATAAATCTTCTTATTGGATTCATCACCTTGTTTCTATACTTATTGGATATTAATACTCATAATGTTTTAATCATTAAATCATCTTTCCTTTTCTAGGTAATACAGATGCGAAAGGCATGTAGCCTCCCACACCTCTTTCCTAGAATTGAGCCCAAACCATTTATAGAAGGCGAACAGCTGATTCAGGTAGCCTTCTCATCTTGGTTTTGTAGACAAAAGATGATGAATGTGGAATTGTAATCTATTTACTGCTTCTGAGTCTGCAATTTTTATCTTCCTTCTACCATATCATATAATTTCCTTTCAACCAAAATGTTGTTTTTAAGGCTTCTTGATCAGGCTAGCAGTAAACTTGTAATTTTGGACCAACTACTTAGAAACTTGTATGCTTCTGGGCATTGTGTTCTTCTCTTTGCTTAGATGAAGCATACACTAGATATTTTACAGGTTTGCTTTTCGAATGTTAATAATGTTAAAGGTTTATGTGTTCAGCTTGAGTGCTGAATGTTGATTTTGACAACTATAGGCACTGCTTTTCACATGCAATGTATGATTTTTTAGAGTTATGAAAATATTCCTATTAGCGTCTTGATGGATCAATTCAGCCTGAGGAGCGTTTAGCTGCTGCTATAAGAAATTTCAGTGCTTCATCATCTACGGGGAGACTCAATTATGAAGCTGATGGAAATAATGTTTTTGTTTTTCTGATCTCTGCAAGAGCTGGGGGAGTTGGTTTGAATCTCGTTTTTTAGTCTCTTTACAAGAAGCTAAAGCTTCAGTTGGAAGCATAAGTGTCCTTCAAGTCATATATATATCCATGAGACATGTGCGCTTATTTTTTTGTGAGCTGAAACTAAAAATATGTATTATGGGATTATGTACTTTATGTGCCACATTTTTTACGTCATGGATCTAGAAATAGTTTGTTTCTTGATCTCCTACACACATTATCACTAAACATCAACCATTTGATTGCTATGCATAGAGAGGATGGTGATGAGGGTAGTATAAACAATGCTTTTCAATTAGTGGCTTTTGCTATTGTGCAATCATATAATCTTAGGCGTGAAGTCCCTAGGAGTCGTATATCTATTCCTGAACTGAAATGTTGTTTATCAAAGGCGTCATTCTCAGAATTCTGGTTAGTCATTCTGCTCCTGGTTAAGTTTGACTTGAATTAGATATGTTTTAATTTATATTGAAGACTGATTAGGTGGCCTAGTTGCTTCATGTTTGAAGAATCAAACTATAGTCTTCTTTTTAATATTTTGTCTTAATGCTGCATTTTCATAGATTATTGATTCTCACTGGATGACATTGCTTCATTTTGGACATTATATTATTTCAAGATACCTCATTTCTTTTTAGGCCTATTTTAGTAATTTTATGACTGCTTTTAAAGAATTTCTTTTTACCTTAACAAGTAATTGAGAACATGATCTCTTATCTCACTAGACTTGATATGTGATTTGTCTTTTCTTCTACATTAAATTGTTTATTTAATGTTTGTAAGAGGGGCTTCTTCTATCATCTCAGGCTGTGTAAAAGTACGTACTATTGGAAGCATACATCTTCTGGTGCATTTTAATTTTTCAAACATAGGGCAAGAGATGGTTTAGTTATAGAAACAAGATAGACTCACCAGTCAGGCTGTTGATACTGAAGTAGCTATAGACTTTAGAGAACTTTGCTTGATTTAGAGAGTCCAATTATTTGTTATCAGAATTTTAAGTTGCGAAATTATTTTTCTTAAGTGCCTCACTCCTTTATTATTTAACTCTTGGCAGTCTTATGTCTTGAATTATCATCCTTTTAAACCTAGGATTGATATGAGTGTTGGGATGATAGCAAAACAATAGTTCAAATTGTAAGTTTCTAATTCTGAAAGCTCTCTTTGCTACTGTACTACATTTCTTCACTTTGTGTTGAATTTTTTTGCATATCCCTTTCTACTTATGGGAGGGCACACCTACGAGGAAACATGAAATAGGATGCTTCAAGTTAGTTCACAGGAAGTGTTCACCATAGGTTAACTATAGAAATGATTTGTATCCCCTTTCCTTGCTTTTAATAATTAGTAGTCTACTCTTGTCTTGTTATATTGGTTGAAATTTATTAATTGATACATGTTTTATTTCCAGGAATTTCTTTCATCCTTATAGAATGGTTAATGTTGATTTTGTCATAAAAATTTGGGATTCTTATACATGTATAATTTACCTAATTTTGCTATTTGGATTTGTCTACCATTGGTGGCGATGTAGACTATGATGTGAAGATGTTTCATTGGCTTTTTTAATAAGGGTTCTCCTTGAAAACTACCTTGGCAGTAATGTAAGATGAATCCCATTGTTGCGTTTATGTAAGTGGCACTCATACATTGTAGGAACCACGTATCAAGATTTATTGTGTTGATAGGTGTGCTTCTTGCTGGTTGACTGATATTATATTTTGCCTCTTTTCATCGTTCTCACTTAATGTTTCTTGTTTCTCTCCTTCTTGGATATCAATTTCTTGATTTTTTAACCTTTATATCTTCGTTCTGTGTTGAGGTAATACAACCATTCTTCATCCTTTCTTGATATTGAGCCTGGACCATTTAAAGAAGGTGAACACCTGGTCAAATATCCTTTTCATCTTGGTTTTGTAGACAAAGGATGCTTATATCTGGAGTCTATGTGTTCCTTTTGCTTGGAATAGGAAAAACTTTTGTTGTTTCTGTATGCTTGCAATTGGTATAGTCCTTACTGCTTTCTTACATTGTTTCTTTCCAACCAAAATGTTGTTTCAATTGACTTCCTGATCAGGCTAATGGTAAGGTTGTAATGTTGGACCCAGCACTTAAGAAGTTGAATGTTTCTAGGCATTGTATTCCAAGGAGCATCCTCACTATGCACCGAACTTGATTGATAACTGATGATGATTTGTTTTGAATTGTTTGTGACTCGTTGTTTGGTGCTGATAATTAAGTATGTTTCTGTTGAAGCTTAAATAAATTAAAAACTTCCACTTTTATACTGTTATCTTTGTGATCATGTGTTAGCAATATGTACTTAGGCCTCCAATTTTCAAAGACGTAATTTAGATAATAAGTTATTTGGCTATTGCATATTTATCAATTATTGTTTGTCAGATGACAGTTAATAAAATTCGAGTATAACCTAGTTCTTTCTGATTTATTTCTGCATGAACCATAGTATAGTGGTAAACATTTTGTTATAGCTTTTGCATACGGTAGTTGAACTGTTGTTTGTGTTAATTAGTTGTCATGCATTATTCATGAAAAATGTCTTATATGCTGATATCAGAATATATTGAATGGAGTATAAAATCTTTGATAAATTTGGTGGGCTAATGCATTCCCATTCTGGATGCAGTGAAGTTTATATAAGAGCATCTTCAAAAGGGCGGCCATTTACTATTAGGGAGGTCATTGCTTCATACATTGGCCAGCGCTTAAGGATATCTCGCATTATAATTCCGTTGTTTAGATGTTAAGCCACTTCTGTAGGTAGCAGTATATACATGTGAAGTTTGTGGTTGAAATCTACTAGGTAAGTGAGCACAAGGCCTCTAATCTCACTATACTTGGATACACTTATTTTTTTTTTTCATTTAACATCTGTCAAATAGGAAGTAATTTCCCAAGATTCAATGCCCTTCCAGACGTTGATAGATAAATATAACAAAGGGGAAGCTGATCTTTAAACTCAGAGTATAAACGTTTCTAAAGTTTCAAGAGGTTTTCAATTTAATATGTTTCAATCTTAGAATAGGGTAATAACAAGCAAAAATATTTTGACTATGAGGCTAAGAAAGAGTTGGCTGAGCATGTTGCAAAAGGTCATAACTCTCGGACTATGGCTGGTCATTTAAGTGGAGAACTCACAGGAAAGAGTAGTGGTTGTGTCATATTTCCTAAAAACTTTGGAGGATACATCTTGTATTTCATTTGTGTATTAGAAGAGGCCCTTAATTTTTGTAGCTAATGTTAATATGCACCAAATTGTTATTAAACAATTTAACTTTAGTCTGATTCGTATATATAACTTCGGATAAAGCTATAACTCAAGTTTGGTGAACAAGGGGCATAATAGAACTAATTGACTCCCTCTTCTTATAAACCTGTCTCAACTAAAAGAGAACGTAAAAAGAATGTTGTCGTGTTTAATGTGAATTGTTGAGTGGTGTTAATAATTGTAGCTTGCAACTGGTTTTTACAGTGTACATTCTTTGTTTTCAAAAGTTGCATTCTTGTTGATAGTTCATCGTCTTGGCCTACTCCCCAGCAGAATTGTAAATCTTCATCTAAGCTTTTACTCTCTGTTTTTGTGTGCTCACAGGTACCTTCAAGTGATGTTGTTGAATTACCAGGAATCTTTCTTCCTATCCCTTACTCTGGTTATAGCAGTTTTTGCTAGCTTAGCTATAAATACGTACTTAGAGGCCATGTGTGTGACTTATTTCAAGAAAATTATGATGAGTAACCCATCTCTAGTACTTAATTACCATTAGTGAGCAATTTCATGCATCACAAATAGTTTCATTGTTTTCAATTTTGAACAGTTTGTGAAAAAAAAATGCTAATTTCCTAAATTTCATTTGGAGAAAATGAAACCTTGTATTGTAGTCAAGTATCTAACAAGAAGGTGCTTTTTGTTCGGTCAGTAGTTGGGATTCTGAAAAGAAGTAAAGAATCATTCTGTTGATCTGCTCAATTGTACTGTAGGTATGAACTCAAAGGAGATGAGAAAGAACAGATTGCTTGTTTAGCATAGGATGGTGATCTACAATAAGTTGGCATTATCATTGGCTCCTGAAATGTTAGGGACTTGAAGATAATAAAGAAGCTCTACTTCACCTTGTGGGTGTTCCGTCCTGGAAGTTGAAGGTTGGGGATGTAGGTAGAATTAATCTAGTGATATAAGAACACTTGTGGAGAGATTGATTTTGCTCATCACTACAACAGGTGTAAAGTCCAACTAGAACTCTGGAATGATTTTGGGATACTTAGTGATACATAGTTTCATTTTTTTTGTAAGAAGATATGGAATTATAGTAGTAAATAAATTAGGATGAAGTTCCATAAGTAGACTAGCAAGGCATAATGAAAGCTGAAACCTAATGGGGATTTAAGTATCCTACACGGTAATTGTATGTCTTCAGCTTGATTGCTGAAGCTATTTGATTTTGGCAAGTAGAGTTACTGCTTCTCATATGCAATGAAGGATTTTTTGGAGTTGTGACAAGATTCCTTTGGGTGTTTGCATGGATCAGTTAAGGTTGAGAAGCGTTTTGTTCCTCATAAGAAATTTCAGTGCACCATCAACTATAGGGAGATTCAATTTTTAAGCTGATGGAAATGATGCTTTTTGAAATCATTTTTTTGTTTTTGGGCTCCAATGTTGTAGGAAACATAAACTTCTCTCCTTTCTAATTTTAAATGACATTTTACTAATTCTAATTTTTTTTTTTCAGGTCATTTTCTATGAGCAAGATTGGAAACCCCAGGCTGACTGACAAGCTCTGTAGTGGGCACAGTAGATTTATCTTTTTGGACACTTGCAGAGGAGACTATTCTATTTCTAAGAAGTTGGGTGGACTCATGCTAATCTTGTTTTCTCATTCTTGAAGAGGTTTGTGTATAGATTTATGTGCTTGATGACCTTCATTATAAATGCTTCCTCTTAACTATCTAATTCCATATGGGAATTTGGAGTATTCAGATGACTATTTAATGGCAATTTACTGATTTGGAACTTCAAAGTTCCAACCTAAAAATCAATATGATGTGGTAAACACAGGCAATCGATTGCATAACATTTGAAGTTTTTAATCATTAAATCAGTAAAGATTAATTGACTAAAATTTTGAACTGACAGATATTGTGTGTCTCCTTTCACTATGCTCACTTAATGCACTTTGTTTTTCTTCTTATTGGATATCAGTGCTCTTGATTTTTTGATCTTTATATCTGCCTTTTGTGTCTAGGTAATAGAATAATACTTACCCCTATCTTGGTATTGAGCCTAAACCATTTGAAGAAGGTGAATACCTGGTTCAGTTATTTTTTTCGTCTCAGTTTGGTTGACAAAGGATGTGGGTGTTTGGAGTCTACTTGTGTCGTTTGCCTAGAATAAGAAAAACTTTTTTTTGCTTCTATGAGTTTGCAATTTGTATTTACCTTAGTTTCTTGTTACATTATTTACTTCCAACCAAAATGTTGTTTCAATTGACTTCCTGGTCAGGCTAATGGTGAAGCTGAAATTGTGGACCAACTATTTCAAAAGTTATATGTTTCTAGGCATCGTGTTCTCGTTGCTCAAAGGACTCATATGCTTGATATTTTAAGGTTTGCATTCCAAATCTAAATGATGTTAAAATTTACATGTTCAGCTTGAGTGTTGAAGTTAGTTGATTTTGACAACTATAGTTACTATTTTTCACATGCAAATAGGAGTTTTTGGAGTTACCAAAGTATTTGAACAAGTGTCTTAATGGATAAATTTCGGCTGAGGAGGGTTTTGCTGCTATAAAAAATTTTAATGCTTCATCATTTACCGGGAAACTTAATTTTGAAGCTTATAAAAATATTGCTTTTATTTTTATGATCTATACAAGCACTGGGGAAGTGGTTTTGATATTTGTGGTTGTTGATACTGTGAGCTTTATGAAATTCTCTACTAACCAAATTTTCACTCTTCACACTAATGGAAGTTATGGCTGATTAGGGTTCAAATCATACACTTTCTGCATCTCTTGTTTTCGACTTTTGGTTTGGTTGATTGTATGCCTTTGATTAAAAAATGATATATTTCTTTATGAATTTTGATATTGAATTTGTAATTAGTTGTAAACTTTGATGTTGAGATTGTTATTGAAGCTTCTTATTGAATTTTTACAATACTGGGATTTTTTGTTGTCATGCTGATGTGCCCCAGTCGAGTTTAAGAACATTAATCACACTACCAGAAGGGTATCAATCATACATGAACATGTGCCAAATTTAATTAATTTAGATTAAATATAAAACAAAGGACTAAATAAAATACAGCATAAAATTAAGGATTAAATTAAAATCAATTGTAGTACTCAACTAAAATAAAACCAAAAAGACGGTGGCCAACCTTTTGGGATTGTTTTTCCGTTAAAAGCCAAAGAAATTTTGAAGGGGGGAAGTAGATTGGAAATTTTTGAGTTGTGTTGACCTGAAAAGCAAGAAATCCTATTCTGAATCAACCAAACTAATGGTAAAAAATTGTTTTCATTTGTCTTAATGGAAGAAAACGCAAGATATGTTCTAGGAAATAAAGATCAGAAAATTCAGAACGAATATGAGTTCCATTTTATCCTCCATTAACCAGATTGAAATAGTTGAGTTTTAGATGGGATGAACAAAAAACTAATTTTTCCATTATTTAAACATTTTCCTTTATTTTATGTTTGTTTGATGGAAAAATGGAGAGGCTGACGCAGGATTAATTGGAAAAGGGAAGTTGAGACTTGAGACGGTGATGGAGGTGGTGACTAAAAAAAGGGATGCTGAGGTCGTGATGGAGATGATAGCGGTGATGGAGGCGATGTACAGGGGTGAAAGTAGGAATTTATTTTGGGGAGGGTTGAAAATTTTTTCAACATAATACTTAATTATATTTATTTCGCTTTACAAAATCTTATAAGAGCTTTTAATAATAGATTGAGAACTTTGAAATTTGTTTTTCACTGAAAAGAAATGTTTTTTTTTTTTTTCTTTGTTAAGTAAGTAAATAAATTAAAAAAGAGAAGAATGTACAAAGGCCTGATAAAGGGCGACCAGCCTATTTTGGGACATGTCCCAAAATGGGAATCAAAGGAAACAAGCCTACAAACGGCCATTCACTCTTGGGGTTAATCTTAAACCACAAAAACCAAGAAGAGAGCAAAGAGAACAACAGCAATTCCGCCTACCATAGTACACCTCCCTAGGTTAGGATCATTTAAAAGAAGAACAAAAAGAAAAACACAATATCAAACTCATTACAAATGAAAGAAACACAACCAAGCAAAAACCATTTTGCGTAACGCTCCGTAATCCAGTCTTCAAACGGTGTCGGGAACTTGAGGAACATCTTTGAAAATAGATCTAGGCAGGCTCCAATCATTCGCCAACTTCCTATTGCTATAGGATACTTTGACATTCCTAAGATCCATAGCTTTGTCTCTCACAACACTTTTGATAACATCAATTATGGTGAAGGAATCCTTATAGTCACCCCTAAAAGTCCGTGAATTCCGCTCCCTCCAAATCCAATAAATTGTAGCCCCTAAACAAAGCCTACCCCAAAGTGAATTTTAGGCTCTTATCTTTCCATTTCCTTGCCAAATGGGGGATGTAATCATGCCAAGGTCTAGCCACATAGCCAAGGTCAGCAAGTATAAGGATCTTACTCCAGATAGACTTAGAAAAAGGGCATGCAAAAAATAAGTGGTCAAGAGATACCATAGATGAGTTACAAAGGCAACAAAGAGCGTTAGTAGTAGCCCCATACCTCATCAACCTTTCCTTTGTAGGTAATCTCTCCTTAATAGCCATCCATAAGATCACAGAGTATTTTGGGATAGCCTTTGAGAACCACACCAAGTCACACCACTCAACTTTTGCTCTTCTTCCTCTAATAGCCTCCCAAGCCGATTTGGTAGAGAAATCCCCCGAAGGTGAGGGTATCCAACAAATCTTGTCGTCAACATTGGAAGGTGTGAAATTCACAGAATTCCTTATATTAATAAGAGCCCAAGAATTGGCACTTGGCCACTTCCAATTGCATCCATCAATCACAGAACTCACCTTAGCATCCTTAGCAATCCCTGCATCATAAATAATCCTTTCCCCATAGACACAAGCAAGGGGGCCGTTCGGGTGCCAGTTATAACCAAAGAGAGGTGGTGTTACCATTGCCAATGTGACATTTGATATTCTTTCTAGTCATTTCCCTATTTTTTAGGATATGTCTCTATGACCATGTACAATTTTGGGGAATGTTGATGTCCCAAATGCTTCTATTTCTCAAAAGATGAATTCGGACCCAAGAGACCCACAAAGTATGGTTTCTATGATTGCACAGGTTCCAAATATGTCTTAAAAGAAGCGGCGAGGTTCCATTCCTGAAAAGAAATGTTAATTATATGATAACAATGTAAAGAAAAATAAAAAATCGTAAAAATGATACTAGTGAAACGGTGGAGACCTATCTATGAATTTCCTTTTTAATAAAGAATAATAAGAAAAAAATTCATTTATAACAAGGAATATGAAATCTTTTTAATAAGGATGAATAGGATTGATGAAATAAGATAAGTATTTTTTCTAATGATATACAAATTGTGATTGTATTGGTAGGATTATTAGTAAGTGTTAATGTAAATATATATTAAGTTGATTTAGAGAACTGTATTGGAGTTATAAAATTAATAGGATGATTCAAATAAGCCTACATGAAATTTAAACATAAAGCTCAAAATGCAAAACTTGATTATTATACAAACTTATCCTAATTTAAAGGTACAAATTCAAAATGCTGAGTTGGTACCCAGGTGATAGAGTATGTTTTTTTTTTTTTTTTAAGAGACCGGGGATGTCTAACTAATCCCCCAAGACCTTGAAGTTAACGACTGGGTAAACCCTCTAGGATTTTTTAATATAAAAATTGAGAATAGGCTGAATTTTATCAAATATATTAAGGCCGAACGACTTACACTTACCCAAAGTTTTCCATAAAGACAAGTTGGTACCTAAAAGGTTTGGAAATGACAAACAGATACTGGTAGCGGTTATAAGGATAAACCGTCGTAACAGTTTTAAGAGTAAACCACCGTAGCGGTTTAGATGGGTTTTTATTAGCGGTTTTTAAAACATCCAACCTACACGTGAGAGTTTATTTTCTAGCGGTTCTAATAGTTTTTTAAAATAATAAATTTACATATATGCCCATAAAAGTACCCCAACTTAAACCAGTACTTGGGAGTTTTGTTTTTTCAATTACAAGGTAAAGGTTCTATATTTGTTTTCTACTTATTAGTATTTTATAACTTCAAATGTGATAAAGTTTCCTTATCCTTCTTCGCCATTCTTTGCAACATATGAAATGATTGAAAAATTGCAACTCCACTCCTTCAAGAAAGCATCTAGAAATAAGATTTTAATAATTTTTTTTTTTTTTTTTTTTTTGTTTATGATTGCTTAAAATTTATTTTATATTTAATATAGTTGAAGATGCGCAAAACATATTAATAAACGAGTACAAAGATGCAGGTTAATGTGATAAATCATGTTATTAGGAGGGAGTAATCTAATTAGACGGGGCATAAGACCATGGATTAATTATTAAGAGAGCAAAAAGCATGGGGGGATATTTAATACTTAGTTTCTACCCATTGGAGATGGTTTGCTTGTTACTAAAACAATTGTATAAATATAAAGTAAAGATGTATTCAATAATTGAATGTTCCACTAGATAAAAATAAAATTAATTAGGATCTGCATCAACTAAATCACATAAAGTCAATATACTTAATAAGCAAGTATTCTTGTTTTCATATGCTTTTGTACATAAGTGAGCAGCCCATGGAACTAGTATAAGTGGTTATCACTAATAAAAAGCAACAGCAAAAACTCACTAAATCTAAAATATATACCTGGAAGTAACTTCTTAAGTTTCTTCAAGCCAAATGGTCAAAAAAACTAGCAGCTATTGTGGGACTTACCTTGTTAAAAGAATTAAGTAGCTGCATTTTCAAGCATTTTCATTAAGATACTCTTGTGGCGATGGGCTGGAAACGAGTAAAACACACGCAGCTTCATGGGATTTTCAAGAAGGAAAATCTGAGCACGTAGCAACTCATCATCATCTTTAATCCCAATCTCAACTAAATGCTCCAACAATTCATTGTCCTTCGAAGAAGATTTATTAGCACACTTTTTAGCACGCAAGTGTTGCCCTAACCACTTCACCTAGGTAATGTGTTGCCCTAACCACTATACTACCTCCTTTATAGGATTGTTGTCCTCTTTAACCTTGCGTCAGACTTACGTGATGTAACTTCAGATTGGTAGCCTGGAGAAGTCAAGTCATTCTCATTTCTTTCAACATTAATAGCATTCAATAAAGCTTGATTTTGTGCCACCACGTTATCAATGTCCTCAACTGAATGAGGGCATTCTACATTGTTTTGAGATAAGTGAGCTCTTTTTCTCTTCATCTCCCTAGGGGTGTCACCATCTTCCCCATTCGCCCTATCTTCTGCAAAGAGCTCATATAACTTGTCGTAGTTTTATACAAGCTTGCTCCTCCATTCAACAGTACTAGGATTTGACTAT